TCTCCTCCTCTCCCCCATTCCCAATGGGGCCAAGTCAGGAGGCGCCCCAAACACTGGAGCCCTCCACACCAGCCTGCAACCTCTCTCAGCATTCGGGGCACAGGGAGCACATGGCACCTCCAGTATCAGGCTGCCCATGATCAGAATTCAATGAGTGATGCATGCATGATATCTATAAAGCTCTCACTGGTGCCAATGGCACGCGCGTGTTTCCATCTGTCATTGTCGAGCGTGAATTTGACATAGACTGGGTCCAATTCACATGTGCAACTGACAAGAACACCCATGGCTGATACGCATGTGCCCGTGCATTGCCAAACGTGAATCGCCCTGAACACTCACAATATTCTAGCAACGAGGTGTAGTTTGGAAACGGGCCCAGGAAAACGTTTATTCCAACCGTTTATTCACCCTCCACTCTTGCCCTGAGTCATAACATCCGGGTCACCCTACTTCCATGGCAACCTGAGAGTGGCGTCTATTCTGGTCGAGGGCAGAGCCCCAACTCCAGCTCCATGACTGGGGCTCTGAAAATGCCTCCCTGTTTCAGACGTTTCCTCCTTTCCCCACCCCACCCTTCTTCCCACCGAGCCCCGGGTGTGATGGAGAATTCCACCGGAAGGTGACACCTCAGGGTCTCAAGCAGCCTGAGGGCTCATTTTAAAACGCTCCTTTAAAAGAAAAAAGAAAATAGCCTGGCCGGTGTGGCTCAGTGGTTGAGCATCAACCTATGAGCCAGGAGGTCACATTCGATTCCTGGTGAGGGCACATGCCTGGTTGCAGGCCTGATCCCCAGTGTGGAGGGTGAAGGAGGCAGCCGATTAATGATGCTCTCTCATCATTGATGTTTCTAGCTCTCTCTTCCTCTCCCTTCCTCTTGGAAATCAATAAAAAAAAAAATACGTGTGTGTATTTAAAATATATATCAGAGAAGAAGGGAGAGGGAGAGAGAGATAGAAACATCAGTGATGAGAGAGAATCAGTAATAGGCTACGTACTCCCCACTGGGGACCCAAGGGGGCATGTACCCTGACCAGAAATTGAACCATGACCTCCTGGTTCATAGGTCGATGCCCAACCACTGAGCCACACAGCCAGCCGGTTCCCGAAGGCAGGTGTCCTGAACAGCAGGAAGCTCAACACGGACACGGCCTGTTATCCCAATCTGCTGGGAAGTAAACAGGTTTTCGCTACCCTCTCCCTTCCCTCTCCTCTCTGTCCCTCCCCCACAACATGTGTAACTTAGTCATGAAGGTCACGGCGAATCTTCTGAAATTGCTCTTAGAATTTTCCAAAGCAGTTGCCAACCTCGCTGGGTCAGTCTCCAGGGAGGACTCGGCTCAGCACTTCCAGACATTATCTCACCCGACCCTCCGATCAAGCCCGGGAGGGAGCTGTCCTTGGCGTTTCCATTTTACTTGAGGAACAAAGTTTTAATTGGTCAAGGAACTTGTCTGCGGTCACAGTTCGTAGTGATGCACACTGGATTTGAACCTTTTTTTTTTTTTTTTTTTTTGCCACCAAGGCCCTTGTTCATCTCTTCTCCAGTCTTTCTGTGTCCTTACTCTTCCTATACTTCAAAAATGAAGTAGAAATTAAGGCATGATGAATAAAATTAAAATAAATAACGCTATATATGAATGCCAAGAAAACTCAAAGGTGTACTAGAAAATGTCTAACACAAGATAAGGCAGTAATAGAGGAATAGAGAAACAAAATCAGTATGAGACCTGTAGAAAACAAAAAGATGGTAATTATATTAATTGTTATTTATTAATTATATTAATGGAAACGGATTAAACACTCCAATCGAAAAGCAGAAATCAGCAGAATGGCTTAAAAAAAATATGTTCAGCCTAACCGGTTTGGTTCAGTGGATAGAGCATCAACCTGCGGACGCAAGGGTCCCAGGTCTGATTCCGGTCAAGGGCATGTACCTTGGTTGCAGGCACATCCCCAGTATGGAGTGTGCAGGAGGCAGCTGATCAATGTTTCTCTCTCATCGATGTTTCTAACTCTCTATCCCTCTCCCTTCCTCTCTGTAAAAAAATCAATAAAATATATTTTTTAAAAAAATGTTCTAACTATGCTACCTACAGAAAAACATCCTTGAGACTCAAAGGCATAAACAAAATGAAAGGAAAAATAGTTTTAAAAAAAGTATATCTTTTTCAAGTTGCTCTACGAATATCCAGCAAAACGGACATGATGACAAAAATTATTACTAGAGCCAAAGACAGACATTTTATGATGATAAAAGGGTCAATCCATCAAGAAGACATAATTATAATCACATATGCACTTAACAACAGAGCCCCGAAATACATGTAGCAAAAAGTGACAGGATTTGAAGGAAGAAATAAATAATCCCACAGTAATAGTTGAAGCCTTGAACAGCCCACCTTTAACAATGGATAGACTTAGACAGAAGATCAGCGTGGAAAACGGAGACGTGAATAGCACTATAAATCAACCAGACCTAACAGACATCTATAAAACACTCCACCCAACAATAGAAGAATATACATTCTTCTCAAGTGCACATGGAATATTTTCCAGGGCAGACCACATGTTAGGCCATAAAACAAGTCTCATAAATTTAAAAGGATTTAAGTCATAAGATGTCTGTTCTCGAACCACATGAAGCTAGAAATCAGTAACAGACAGAAATTTGGGAAATACATTAATATGTGAAAGTTAAACAACATGCTCCCAAATATACCAATGGTATTTGGTTAAAAAAAAAAAAAAGAAAGAAAGAAAGAATCACATGGGAAAACAGAGAATATTTGGAGATAAATGAATATGAAAATAGAACATACCAAAACTTATGAGGTATAGCAAACGTGATGCTTAGAGGAAAATGCATGGCTATAAATGTCTATATAAATATATCTCTTTGGGCGCGGGGAGGGGGGAAATGGACACATATGTAATACCCTTTGTAATACTTTAAGCAATAAAATATATATATATATACATACATATATATATATATATATCTTTTTTAAAAGAAAGATCTCAAGTCAATAACCTAACCTTTCACCTTAAGACTCTGGAAAATGAAGACAAAACTAAGTCCAAAGCTGGCAGAAGAAAGGAAATAATATTAGAGCAGAAATAAATGAAATAGAGAATTAAAAAATAGAAAAAATTCAATAAAACAAAAGTTGGCTTTTTGATAAGATCAGTAAAAATGGACAAATCGCCTGGCCAGCGTGGCTCAGTGGTTGAGCA